ATCTTTCTTGACCCACCAAACATTCCTTCATTTCCTCCTTTTCCTTTTGAAGAAGCTCTACTTGTGTTTCCAAGTTTTTAACTTTTAAACTTTTTACACACGTCACTATCCTCAGAGTTTAACTGCACCGTTTTGGCTATTGATGCTAGCATGGAGCTGTGCTGTTGTAGCTGGCCACTGATGCCCTCCAGGCGGTCATCAACACGAGCTCCCAAAGTTTCAACACGAGTTCCTAAAGCTTCAACACGTGTTCCAAAAGCCTCTAATGCACCAAGGATGGTCCCGACTGCCTCCCCCGAAACCTCCTCTCCTCCTCACGGGTACCTTTATTTTTATTTTCTCCTTGTTTCTTTTCAGGAGTATTTGTTGTCGTGGTGGCTCCTCTGTCTTGTTTGCTATTAGCATTAGCCACCTCCATTGGCTCAGCGCAGCTGTGCTCCGAGCCTTCTGACTGACAACTCTGGGTAGATTTAAAAAGCACTTTTTTTATATTTGTTGCTTTTTTCGTTGGCTCATCTTTGTAACTGAAGTCCAGCAGCTGTATTTTAGTGGAGTTCACTTTAAATCTCTTTTGTCATCGGGACTCATTTAAGAGCTCTGAGTGATGCGTCCGTTCAACACACCATCAACCCGGAACTCCCTGTAACCTTTTAAAGTAAACTAAAAATTTAGTGTTGAGTCCTTGGAATCTGATCTCTAATGGCTGAGAGTAATGTCAGGTGGAAACAAAAGCACAGGCTTTGGCCCCCATGAAGCACTTTACTGCTCTTCAGAATTGATTCTTTAGGTCTGTTTAACTCTAGCAGAGGGATGGAACACCATTTTTCAAGAAGACACTTTCTAATTTGCTGGTTTGAATTGTGGTGGCAATTGTTGTGGAGAGTGCTGACTAAAGTGGGATTTATGGTTGCACACACTTTGCTTATCTGCCTGTGCTGCTTTCACTCCAAGAAGAGAGAAGTATTTCTAACATTTGCAAACTTCCAAAAACTTCACTGCTCGTGGCCTTACAAAATTATGCTACATAAAGTTTTAACGTTGATTGAGCTGGAAAAAGACCAAAACAACAAATTTAATTGGAAGGAGAAAACAAAGCTTGAAAACCATAAAATGCCCCACTCGAAATCTGTCAGTACAAACAGCATGCTGCTCAGATGTGCCCCACCCCTTTGAAAAAAAATCACAGACATGATGAGTGCCCCACCATGGCAAGTTATCTAGGAGAAACACTGTACACCATGATATTCTCATATTCCAAAACACATTTAGAACCAATATGAAGTGTTCATACAGTCTCAAATGCTCATTACAAGACTTTTTAATCTAAAGTCAGCCATTTTGAAAATAGTGCCATAAAATGGGATTGAAAGGTAGGGAAATTTGAACCCAAATATTTGTGTATGAGAGCCTTGACAAAGGCAGTTATTTTTGGCAGCCAAAATGGCACAAAATTATATTATGCACTGGTCTAAATGTCAAGGTTCTAAATCTATGTTTCCAAATCTTTCATACAGGTTTAATGGGTTCAGATCTGGATTATGACTGTAAAGAAAAGTACTTTCTATGTTTTCTCTATACTAGACATTGAATGGCCACTTGTGTCTGATAGAGGAGGCCATTATCAGGATAAAAATGTTTCGACCTAAGATAAATTCAATAGATCATGATAATTTGCATTGAACTGCACTGACCTTGACGTCTAAAATCAGAATATTCTAATACTGTTGAAACAACTAAATGCTAACTGTGGTCCTACCTTTTTATAAGACAATGTTTTAAGATCAGTGTAAAAGCATTGTTAGAAAATGTTAGTGTAAGGTCTCAGGTTTATAAATATAACTGTAAATACGGGTTCTGTGTCTTGAAATAAATTAAACAAAAATAAAAATTGTGTTGGCTCTTTTGAATAACTCTTGTTAGTGTGTGAGTGTGTGTGTGGGTGTGTGTGTACCTTTATACTCTTATCTAGGCTCTCAAGGGAGTTAATGTCCAGCCCTTCTTTGCAGGCCTGCAGACAGGAAATGACTTTCTGACTCTCAATCTTGCCTGGTCGGATGGTCAGTCCAGATAGGCTTCCCCGAAAGTACTGAGTGAACCGTGGTTTTGAGACTTCCCCACCTAAAAGCAACCACACAAAACATACACAATAAACACACCAGTGCAACAATTGGAGTTCTTAGATAACACTTCATTGCTGAAGTAACTGAATTAATAAAGGAAATGAATGAAATAATAATATAGGTTATGTAAATATTTTGTTTGTTTATAAACAACATATGAGACATTTTTGTCGTCATCACTTCATTCTAAAATGTTAGAGCAATCTTATCATCATACCTGTCATGTCCATTGATTGCTCACGTGGGAAAGCTAGTTTATATGTCTCACTCAAACCAAAAAGTCTAGTTAGTAAATGCAAACAAAAAAAAAGTTTTTCCTTGTCCTAACTAAGTAGCAGAGGTGTGTAATCATATAAAATAACCATATTCTCTGCCAATATTTTTTGTCTTAGTTTCAACAGTTTAAAAAATACTATTTTTTTATTTATCATTTCTAAAAACATATTTGTAAACTTGGCAGGATTTCTAGAAAATTCAAAACACCAAAACAGAAAACAACCTAAAGCAGTGTATTGAAAACCTTGGCTGAATGCAGAGGTGCACACTCTGCTGGAAGCCAGGAACACTGCCTTCAGGTCTGGAAGCTCAGAGGAGCTGAGTAGGACAAGAAAAGAGCTGGTTGCTGGTATTAAGAGGGCCAAGGCTACATATGCACAGAGGATCGAGGTTCAATTCATCTCACAAGACCCTCGGAGCATGTGGAGGGGCATTAAGTGCATAACAGATTATAAAGGAAGGAGTGAAAAATGCCCCAAAGACCCATCTCTGCCTGATGCCCTCAACAAGTTCTATGCACGCTTTGAAGACCCGAACAGACCACCCAGCACCAGACTCACCTCACCACCGGATGAAGAGCATCTCAGCGTGACCTCAGTCGAAGTGAGGAGTACTTTCAGGAGGATTAACCCGCACAAGGCAACCGGCCCAGACAACATCCCCGGAAAAGTGTTGAAGGAATGTGCCGATCGCCTCTGTGAGGCGCTGGCAGACATCTTTAACACCTCACTTACCCTGGAGACAGTTCCCCACCTGCCTGAAGACTGCCACCATCATCCCAGTCCCAAAAAGCTTTACAGTGACTGGTCTGAATGACTATCGGCCAGTGGCCCTCACCCTGATAGTCGCTAAATGCTTTGAAAAACTGGTCATGACAAACATCAAAACAACCATCAACATCAACGAGGGCCCTCATCAGTATGAATACCGCGAGAACCGATCAACAAAAGATGCCATCTCTTCTGTGGTCCACACTGCGCTCAACCACCTGGAGCAGAAAAACTCTTGCGTCCGTATGCTCTTTGTGGACTTCACATCCGCCTTCAACACCATGATCCCCCAAACCCTGATGGACAAACTATTCACAGTAGGACTAAGCCCCTCTATTTGCAACTGGGCACTAGAATTCATAACAAACAGACCACAGTCAGTGAGGATCCACAACTTCTCCTTCTCCACCATAACCCTCAGCACTGGCTCTCTTCAGGGATGTGTGTTGAGACCTCTCCTGTTTACTCTGCTCACATATGATTGTGCAGCTACCCATCCATGCTGTCATATTTTAAAGTTTGCAGATGATACAGCGGTGGTGGGATGCATCACAAACAATGATGAGTCCAGCTACAGGCAAGAGGTGGAACACCTGGAGAGATGGTGTAAAGAGAATAACCTTCACATCAATGTGAAGAAGACAAAGGACATGATTGTACACTTCAGAAGGAACAAACACATGTACCCCACTGAACATAAGAGGATCTGCGGTGGAAGTGGTCTCCAGCTACAAGTACTTGGGTGTACACCTGAATGACAACCTCAGCTGGGGCAGCAATACTTCCAGCCTGATCAAGAAAGCTCATCAGAGACTCTACTTTTACAGCAACTTCACTGGCTTCCAGTCACTTTCAGAATTCAATTTAAAATCCTGTTGTACACATTTAAGGCCATTCATAACCTCGCCCCTCCCTATCTGTCTGATTTCCTGCACATTATCACCCATTCACACTCTCTTTGTTCTTCCTCTTCCATCCACCTCAAGGTGCCTCTCGTCCACCTCAGCACAATGGGACACAGCCTTTTCTCACTCTGCTCCCCAACTCTGGAACACTCTTCCCAGAGACATCTTCAATACTGACTCCATTCAGACCTTCAAATCACAACTCAAAACTCATCCGTTCAAGTTGGCCTTCTCGCTTAATTTTTTTGTTATTTTCTTCTTGGTTTAGTGTTTTTAAAGCCATTTTGTATTGTTTTATTTTGTGTTTTATTTTGTGTTTTTAATGTTGTAAAGTGTCCTTGGGCGTCTTGAAAGGCGCTAACAAATAAAATGCATTATTATTATTATTATTATCTACTTCCTCAGGTGGTTGAGACGAGCTGGTCTGGGAAGCTCAGTCCTCACCTCCTTCTACAGGTGTGCAGTGGAGAGCATCCTGTGCTCCAGCATCAACGTGTGGCATGGAGGCTGCACAGCTGCAGAAAGAAAAGCTTTGCAGAGAGTGGTGAAGGCTGCACAGAAGTCTGTTGGAGTCAGCCTCCCCACCATCACAGACATCTACACCTCTAGATACAGGAAGAGGGCCACCTGCATCATGAAGGACCCCAATCACCCAGCACACATTTTTTGCCCCACTCCTCTCAGGAAGGAGGTTGAGGAGCATTAAGTGTAGAACCACTAGACTGAGGAACAGCTTCTACCCTGAGGCTGTTAGACTCATGAATATCTAACCAGAATAATCACTGTGAAGAATCACATCATGTTGCTGTTGATCTGTTTCATGTTGCTGCTGATCTGTTTCATGTTGATGTGTTCATGCATAATAACATGCTCATCTGCTCACACAGACTCATGCTCATGTTCGTGCTGCTGCTCGACGTAATGTTTTTACGCTATTAGTACTTAGTGTATTTTTAGTTTATGTTTTTCTTAGTTAATTTCTTAGATGTTATCATTGTTTTTCTTTTACATTTTTATTGTTGGATGTAACTGGGACCCTGTGTAAATAATTTCGCTCCACCACATGTGCTACATGTGGTGCGAACGACAATAAAGAATCTCTGACTTTGACTCTGACTAGCTTCATTAGGTCTATGTGCTGTGACGTAAAGGTGCCAATACAATACAATAAACAATACAATACAATACAATACAACAAAAACAGGAAACAAGGAACAGAACATGCACACAAAGCTTACACACCCTCGAGTGAGAGGTTAGATTAGAGATGGGGTTAAGACATTGTAATTTTTACAAGGTTGTGTTTTGGCTGTCTACATTAATAAGTAGACTCTGGGCAGGTCACACATCTATCCTAGGCCCTTTTTTTCTACTGGTCTTTTTTTATTGTTTCCAGCTGTATCAAGATAAGTAAATTGTGTCACTGGAGCTGCACATTTTAATTTGCTACAGACAAATCATCATCAAATTTAGATTTGTTAGACTGATGGAGTTATCTCAGCAGCACATCTCTGCAAGCTATGGTGAAGTTAAAAAGTTTCTGCACACCAGAGTCCAGTATCAGCTGGAAGAGATGTGCCACGGTCAGATTCTGGCTCCTAAACAGGTCAAGAGATCACATGCTGAACATCATGTTAGTGTTAATGTGTTTCTGTAAATGCAGCACAACATAAGGTAAAATAAATATTGCACCTCTATATTTATTTTTCTTTTGACCTTGTGAAGATTTGCGATGCATTCAGTTGTAACCCGTAAGTTAAAAAAATCTGCACAGAAATGCAATTGCTTTAAAAAATGAAGGTTAAATAGCCAATTTAGGTTTACATGTATTAATCACAATATTAGTTGTAATCTGGTTTCATTACATGATGAAATTTCACAGATATAGAAATGTTTCCAAAAAAAAAAAAAAAAAAAAAAAAACTGTCCAGATGACCTGACGGAAAATTGTTGGATTGTATACCTGGATTATTGAGCATGGACTTTTTTTGGTTTTGAACCAGTTTGACATGCCTGTCGACTAGGAAGAGGGCTGGCTCCAAAGGAGAGGCCGTGCCAAAGACACCATCTTAGCACCAACATAACTGGTTTGTTCCACTTTGGAGTAAGCTGTTTGGGGGAAGAATCAGTTTTGTGTTGTGTTTCCTTGACTAATGAACCCTTCTGGATGGAAGGTGAAATGTTTTAGCAAAAAAAAAAAAAAAAGAAACTGTCCAGATGATCTGACTGAAAATTGTTGGATTTACAGATATAGTAAGTTATGTGGGTTACTATTAATTTTCTGTCTTAAGCATTAAAATTACATGCCTTACATAAACACTCCATAGAGCACATTTTTTAGTGAGTTGCAGGGGCTGCTGGGAAGTATTGGGACAAAAGTAAGTCAATTTTTTGGGTCATGCATTCAGATGGACTGTCCTTGTTGTGCTGTTTAGTTTTGGGTTGGCATTCATGATCAGGCTGTTGTTAGTGACTGTAAAAAATGTACACCATAAGTTATATATATATATATATGACTATAACACATGTACTAATACAGTAAACTTATTCTAGATCTTGTTCAGCATTTAAAGCAAGTCTCATTGTTCAAATACATGGTTTTGTCTCTGTGATGGTGAAACATGGCTCTGCTGCAAGTGATACTCAGCCTCCCAGTTCAGGCTAAATAAAGGTAAGAAAAAAGTCAATCCATTTAAAGTCTGTCCCCTGAACTCCATAAATGCCAGTACCAGCAAGAGGAGACTCCAAACCCTTCATTAGCTAAAAGGTTACTGTATCTTCGAGTATCAAAACTTCACCTATGCATTTATTTCATTTATCATTTTCTGCTTCGTTGTATTTTAATTCTGGCTATAATCCACAAAAATCCTAAAAATATAGAACATTTTCCTCAACTAAGATTTGACAAAAAGGTAAATGTTTTTATTTATTTAAAACCTATAGACTAAATGGAGTAATGACTGATGTTAGTGTATATCGTAACTTCTGAAGGCCTTTGGAACCCTGTATGCTACCCACCAATTTCTTGTTGAAAGCAAAAAATGGAA